CATAAAAGACTTATAATACATTCTTCTATGTTATAAATTTAATAAATACCTAAGAAGGTAACAAACTAAGAGTTTAAGCAGAACCGTTTTTGCAAACACATTTTAACAGCCTTCACAAATGTTTCAAATCGAATCTATTATTATACGCTATAAAATATTCTCGAAAATATTTCACTTTTTACTTAAAATTGCTTTTAGTTTGCTGTAAGGCGCGCTTGTCGCATTCACGCTTTTTAACCAAGCCCTTGCATGAGCATGAGCGAAAAAAGATTACGACCGGCAAGCTTCAAGGGGATCGTTGAAGGAAAGCGTTTTTTTTTTTTTCAATATTTTCTTTTGCGAAGGAAGGAAGAATGGTAGAATGATAATATTCAAGAAAGCTGTTAGGACCACATTTAACTGTCAAAAAAAAAAGTTGTTTTTGAAAAAATAACAAGATCGGAACATTTAAGAGGAGCGGCGCACGCAGCACATTACTAAAAAACCATAAAACAAGTAAGGCAAAGATCTTTACATGTATGTCTTACATCAGATTATTTCCTTTCGAGGGACTTTATATACACATGTATACATATAGGAGGAATGAAAAATGAACATGCAAAGCACTTAACGGAAAAGATGTGAACTAAACAATAGCTTTGCTTTCCTTTGCGTTATTATACAGGCAAGTGCGAATAAAGAGCTCAGTCAAAGCAAAAAATAGGCAAAATGAATGCTCGAGCTGCGACGAGTTGAAGATACACAACTGATTTTGGACGCATATCGCCACGAAACAAATGAATTATTAAACAATCTGACGAATGCCGACAAAGTTTCGTTCTACTATGAAACACCATAGATCCGAAATTCAATTTACAAATTGTCAGCGGACGCTAAAAGTCGGGCACACTAAAACGACATTCAGAAAGATTATTGTGCCTTCCGATGTATGGATGGGATCGTGCATAATTTACATACGTAGTTGTGAGTAAGGGAAACTATAACTAATTTTTTTTTATCGGAAAATAAAATCGTTCGATTCTGGTCACGCGCATGTTATTCACCCTATAATTCTTAAAAATGCTCTCTTGGTTGTCATTTGATTTGATTTTAATTTCTTTTTCTCATAAATGTTTTACAAAAATTTTGTTAAATTTTTAAGAATTACGATAAATAAATTTTGTATTTTTTGATATATCTTTTAATAAAAATATCATAAATTTTCTTTAAAAACTTTAACAGCACAGCACGCAAAGGAAATTTTTAGAAAAATTCCATTCTTTTTTTCTTTTTTTTTTTTAAAAAGGGTTTTAATTATTTAGAAAAATTGTGCATTCTACGGAAACTAATTTCAAATAATTTTCTATAAAATCGTCTTTAATAAATTTTTTAACAATCATTAAATAAATGCTAAAAAAAAGTATAAAAGAAAAATATCGCATACAAGCCTCTAGCGCTCCTATGACTATAAATAGGATGTGAAACTTCAATGAATTACTGATTGCGTTTTTTCTACAAAAATTTCTACATGATAACGAGATAACGAGATTTGTTAAAAAATATAAGAATATATTCAAATAGCCGGCCACATGTAGATCTGAACAGCAAGCTTTCTTGTTGTATTGTGCCCCTAAGGCATATGTGGTTTTGTAGACATACTCACGGCTCACGAGTAGACAAAAGTCATCGTCTCCTCAACACAACTAAGACTCATACTTGATTTAGCGTCCGTTCACTCGTTGGGCATCAGTTGGTGGAATATACATGATATCGAACTTGACATGAAAGGCCGACACTTGACATGCACGCTCTTGATATTAATTAACCAAAGGTCAAATTTGTAAGTGAATGTGAATGACACCCAAACACGTTTAGTGTACTTGAATATTTTTTATAATTTTCAGATTGAAGTTAGGTTATGGTGCAAATAAATCGGGCTTATTAGCGAAACATACAGTAACGATTAGCCTACAATCGATATCCAAAGTTGATTTTAATAACAATTTCGAATCTTTTACACATAGAGAGTGTCAAACTTATTGTAATTGCACTACAAATAAAACTATCTCGTAGCTATAATAACATCATTAAAATGCTTCAAGCTCTGTGAAAAGCCGGGTTAGACTCTTTCCTCTTATTTTAAGTGAGAGAAATGAAATAAAAAGATTCATTGAAGCATAATGTTTTGCTAATAGAATAAGGTGTTAAAAATGAAATGGATGGACATATCAAATGGTATAAATGGTGTCTACGCCCTCAAAAATATAAACATAAAGTATAAATATGCCGTAATAGTAGGCATATCAAGACAATAAAAAACATAACCGATAAGACTTGAAAATTTAAATATTTCAATTTTCCTTAACAAATCTCGTGCATACATACATACATACTGCATCTACACATACTTCTGTGCACACATCCTACGAAAACTGTTCGCAATTGTGTTTCTCGATCTAAACTGTATGGAAAGTACGAGTCGTATATTTAGGCAAACTTAAAATTTTTCTCGACATTTTAAGTTTGATGATGTTGGCTCGAAATCCCAGAATGATGGCCTACGTCATGAACATATCTGCATTTATTGGTATTTTGATTCACCAATGAGCAATTATTTTGACTGCACTTATAGATAGGCAGCGACATATCGGAAATGTGCTTACATTTTCAACATGCGCGGAAAATATGTCCATTTTCGCTAATAAGCAGAAAGCGTATCAAATGCTTATGCTTTGTAGAACTTGGAAAGAATATTTATGACAGAAGTTACGAAAAGTCAATCAACTGAAATCTATAGCGTCATCCGAAACCGAATTTGAAGTCTATTGTGCAAGCATCTGCGTATGCCAGCTCATTGTGTATTTAGGCAGTGAATCATGTAAGACATGTTTTAATTGCACTTTATACAAATTAATTTTTTAAATTTAATTTCTAGATAACAAAACCTCTCCTACATCACAAATTTGTTGCAAATTTTTCGTATTATTGGGACAGTTCTTGTTATTTTCTGTGTCGCTGCCGCGGCGTTTGCCTAGAAATCATTTATTTAAACTATTGCTGCCGCCAGAACAACGTCTATAAGGATCGGACATAAACTTAAGATTGGCCAATTGACCCTCTCAAAACAACTTTACAAACGAGCCATAAAAAGCAATTTTATCTTTTGAAACTTATTCCTATTAACGAACTATGCATAGACACAATAATACCAGCTTTTCAAGGTACATATTATGGAGTTCATGCCAAATACAGGTGCTTGTTAATCTTGGAGTTAAATAATAAAAAAAAAATAAAAAAAATGTCTTTACTAAAAGCAGCACATCGCTTTACTAGATACATTTGCTCTAGAGATGGTATTTACTAGAAATTTTAAGCTGCATTTCTTGTTTTTTTTTTCTTTTTTTTTTTTTTAGCAAATGATTTTAATGAAAAATGCTTTAAAAGAAAAATGCTCAATATACAAAAGAAAACTAAACTAATTTAAATAAAACTAATTCGAATTACTTCTCTAATGTTTTGTACTTACCCAAAAAGGTGGCACTTGGTGAATTATAGGCCAGATACTCTTTATTTGAAGCCCACGCGGGAAATTCATTTTGCTGAACGGCATCTGATATCTCGTCGCCTTGACGCTTCCAAGGAAGTTGAGATTCAGTGGCGGTGGGTGTAGCCACGCGATGTTCACCATCCGAATCACGTGAAAATTGACGATCTTCTTCCGGTATGGCATTCTCAGCTACTAGAGAAGAAAGATTGCAAGAGCAAAAAAAAAAAAAAATGAAGACGAAAATATATTTAACAAAATTTATTATCATTTCAATTTTAAAAATGTTTGTTGCTGTGTTGCATTTAAGCTTCTATATAAACAAATAACATTTCCGAAATAAAAATTTCGACAAGAAGAAAACAGAAAATTAATGTCAAACAAACAAAATTGTTTGAAAACTGAAATACTAGAGAAAACATGCTTTGTTATTGCTTTCAATTGAGTTTCAATTACATTGTGTTTTAAAGTTTTCTTGTGCGCCATATACAGGAATGTGATAACTGTGCGTATGTTACATATTATCGCAATGTAATCGTAAATCTCAATTATAATTATTTTTGGTTTAAAAAAAATATATACATATAAATAAATAATAAATAAGTAAACTGAGAAGTGCAATGACTAAAAAAAAAAATGATAATAATAATAATAATAATAAGCTTCGAGAATTAGAGACTCCATGCACAAAAATGCCATGCCTTTCATCGGTACTTGATTGATTAAATGAATTTTCTTTTAAAACTTTTTACAAAAGCCTGAAATTAAATTTTAAAAAAAATTCATTTTTGAAAAAATTAAACACCTACATAAAATGTTTTTACTTTATATATATGATTTTACTCTATTTTTACAGAAAAAAAAAAAAAAAAAAAAAAAAAATGAATAAAAAATAAATAAATAAATATTGAGGCATTACTAGAACATTATTATTATGGTTGTAGCATTTTTTAATGGACTTATTTTAGAGATGACTTTTAAATTTTAATATTGTGTTTGAATTTTTTATGCAGACATGTATGTACACTTTTGAATGCTGCTTATCATCAACTGAATACTCTATATAAAATAAACGACGAATAAGGGAAAAATAAATTGGGGTTCAATTAAATAGCAAAGCACAAGAAAACCACGCAAATTTAGGGTACGAGCACTTAGTACTTCAAGCGATTACCTATCTCTTCGGAAGTTTTTCTCTACATTCTTCTACATACTTGACCAAGTCCTTCCTTATATAGGAATATGTGTAGGTTATTGTTTAGACTCGGCATTTGTGTAAGTGACTGATGATAGGAACGCAACAGAATTGGTGACTTGGAAAGCAGACGAACGGACAGACAGACGGACGGACATGATTAATTTGATTCAGAATATGTCGCTTTAATATTTAAGCGTAAAAATATTAAATTTTGATCCTTTGCAGGTGTTACAAGTTGTCAACTAAGTTGTAATTGTGATTTTTTGAAATAATTATTCTACGTTTTTATGACTTTTATCACCTTCTTCTTGAGCTTACAAAACCCTATCACCGCTAAAGATGAATTAGATCATGCTACGACTCAGGTGTTAAGGCAACGCTTCAAAAGTTGCGCTTTATCTTGTACTTATTCCAATAGTTTTCGAGTAGTGTTATGCCAAAGCTAACCGGTGGGCATCAACTATCACGAACACCTATATCTCTTGGGAGGTAATGTTTACCTTGTGATTTTTGTTTTCTTTTTATATCCTATACCACTTATGGTACAAGGATACGTTATGTTCATACGGATGGATGCAACAAGCAAAGGAACTTGAGATAGACACACCGTTTATCACTTAGGATGCCTTTCCGAATCGACTTGTCCGTCTTTGGTTTCTTCTGTTCAGCCTATAGGCTGCAATTTTTCAGATATTTTAATGAAATTCAGTACACTGACGTCTTTTCGACCAAGGACGAACAGTGTTGCATACGGTTCGCATAGGATCACTTGTTCGACCACTCTCCGTACAAAGTCTTACTTTGAAAAGTAGTTATATGAGTGGTTGTAGGGTGATGTAAGCTATCTAATGGTGAACTGTGGCCCACTATAGTGTTTTCAATTATTTTTATCTGCTTAAATGGTCCCGTATCTATGTAAGAGTGATATAAAAAGTAGTGTGTTATTCTTCGAGTTCACCGCACAATACCTATGATATTCAATATTTATACGATGATTGAGCTGCAAAGGCCATCTTCATGTTAAGGCCATCATTATTCGAAAAATCAAATTTTCGATCATGTTAAGCATATATCAACGCGTTCTTTACGCAATACATGCCTTGAAGAGTAAACTAATTTGTTCAAATATTGTATCGCGTTGTTAACGATTTGTAAGTTCGATTGAAGAAGAGGACCACGTCGACGTACTTAAATAATTATTAACCATTTAAGAGAGGTTACGTAAGTAGGAAACTTAAAGTAATATATTGTGGTAAATAATACATCAATGCAAAAATACACACTTTTCGAATCTTCATGCGATCATGTACATCCAATGAACTGTCATTGAAAACAAATTTTTCTCTCATCTGAAAAATCAAATCACATCTTATAAACTTCTACAGCTATTTTAGTTAGATATGTTTATAGAAACACCATACTTCCTTATTTCTTCTTCTTCTTCATTAGCTTTTGAAAAAGCAATGCTTTTTTGTCAACGTCACTTACCCTAAATACTAATTTCTCCATTTCGTTAACACTTTTCTTTACTGTAAGCAATTGTTATTATAATTATTTGCTCCTAATCATCTAAGAGAAAAATATATATTTCTAATAGATTCTACGTAAAGTCATACAATTCACATGGTTCCCGTGATTGCATTTCATTCTCCCGCGAACGAGTGAAACGCTATGCTTTGTTTTTTTTCTTTTTTTTTTTTTTCTGTATAATAAGTTGGTGTGAATTTATGGATGCAATGATAGACAATGATATGCAATGTTTTATGTATTTATATATGTATATATGTTGTGTGTACATATGTTTATGCGTATCATCATTAAATGCACTGCTTGTTCTATTTAGAAAAAAAAAAAATAGATTTTAACAAGGATGCAGCATTTACCAATGCTCTGATAGGAACGATCTCTGCGCCAGGGTAATATCAGTTCGGCCGCTGTTGGACCAATAGATGGATCTGGTGAAATTAATTTCTCCGGACTCTCATCAGCAGGACTCACTTGAAATGATACAGTGTTGTTGGTGTTCGCATTCGTGTTCGTGGCGGTGGCGTAATGTTGAACAATCCGTGCTTTGGAAGTATCAAACCCGGGCAAATTTTGTATGTGAGCAATTAATGAATTATTATTGGCACGATCAGAATCCGCTGCATATTAATTTATATATTTGTTTTTTTTTTTTTGTTTTTTTTTTATTTTTTTGTACATAGCATTACAAAAACGGTGGTAGTGTCATTTTTGATAGTGGTCGTGGTTATTGTGTTGGTGTTGAGCATATTGTGAGGCACACAGACAGAGTATAAGAGACACGTATATTTAGAGTAGTTTAGAGGTGTGTAGTAATTGTTATTTTATATATATTTATAATTTATTTTTTTTGTTTTTTGTTTTTTTTTTTTTTGATTATATAGATAAATAGGTTGTAGATAAAGAAAAGAAAGTTGAAAAAATCAACCAAAAAGAGAAAAGGAGTAAAGAAGAGTCAAAACAAAAGTTACACGCAATGGTTAGCCTTTCAATAAACAGTTTTTTGAATTTCAATTCAAGGAATGGAAATCAAATTATTATAAAAAAGCGATTTATTTAAATACGCTTTGAGCGCAATACTGGTACCCACCACCCACATTAACATTCACCAACAGCAGTCAGACTACGTTTGTACGTTTATGAAAATAATATGTGACACATGTGACAATTAACAATGTAGACTTTGTAAGCAAGAGTATAGTTTCTCAAATAGTTTCTCAATACCAACAACAACTCAAACTCAAGTCAAAAATTAACTGATGATTTATTAATGTTATAAAATAAGTAACTTCTTAACTCTCCGAATTTCTTCAATAAAGGCTATCATAAATCCAGTAAATTGTGGTTGGTAAGTAGAGAAACCCTAAGTTGCTTCCGTCACGTCACTAACAAGTAAATATATCTCAAAGAACAACATTTTGAAGGTTTGAATATTTTGTCGCTTTGTAATAATATTTCCTTTATATGTTTGATTCAATATTGGAGGGATTAAAAACGTCCTAAGATAATAAAGTTAATGATATTCTAATACTCAACATCAGTGTGCATACTTCGAAATAGCTCTCGGCTTAGATTCGTTGCTAGCAGGCTCTATCTATCAATTAATTAAATCATCTTCAGATTGTCCATGCGATAATTGCATATTGCAAGGTTTAAAAGGGTCCTTAATATCTTAGTCAGTAGAAGGGATATTTAGGTCGTAAACAGTTACAATACTGAAGCTTTCTTAAAAAGAAATCAAACTCCTGCAATAGAAAGTTTACTCAACGCGATCAATTTCCTCGAGACTAGTCCATCTGAGCTCGCTGTCGCTTGTGAATATCTGGCTCAGTCAGCCGTTCTATAAAAAAAAAAAGCACACACACACCCTTACAAAGATTTAAGCTTGCCTCGTCTTGAAAATTTTCAAAAGTTGCTGATTAAAAATTGCTTTTATTGCAAAAATTTTTTTAATTCGAATGGTGCTTCGAAGAAAATTTGTGAAGAAATATTTGAAACGGGGAAAGGCGGTATTTTGACATTTTTGAGGTTATGAAGTAATATTTATTTTTGTCCTTCTAATCTATTTCACTTTATTTCAAGATAGAATAATTAATTGTTTGTAAGTTATCCGCGTGTGTTATCCGGACTCGCGTTCTTTTTGCGTAACCTTGGATGTGTTACGTGCCCTTGCGAACAAAACAAAAATTAATTGTGAGGAAACTTTCAGGCAAACTCGTGTGCGTCTTTAACGAGATTTTTGGCTCATTTTTCGCAAAGACTGGAACCGGAAGACCGGCAAAAAAAAAAAAAAAAAAAAATTATATGCGCAAAAGGCTAAACGTCTACATCAGCGGCATTATTGAGTTGATTGTTACCCGCGATTGTGAACACTATTGCTCGCCAACTATTCCAATAGTAAATTGAAAAAATTAAATGACATAGGCGGATAGCTGTAACATCGATACAACATGATCGAAAGAAGAGGCGATTTATAGATAATAAAACTCATTAAGTGGAAAACTGTTCGCTGACTTAAAGAAAAAGAATTTAAGTGTACTTGCCAAAGTGTCTACAAACCAGATGGATGAAGAGAAAAGTGAACCTGAAGTAGAGCATTATTGTTATTCCGCAACAAATTATTGTTCTTTCTTTAACTCTGAATTATCAATTGCCACATATATGCGAGAAATGTTAAGAGATATCAATTTTTTTTTTTCAATGCCTTATAAAATTTGTGTTAAAACAGACGAAAGTGGACAATGCGAACTTTTGCTTTTGCGTTTGTTTACCGTCATACTCGTCATCTTAATAAATTCAATTTTTTTATATCCAATGATCTATAGATGGATAGGGATCATATGCAAACGTTAGAACATGTTCGTTGCATTGTATTTCGCACCTAAGATTTATCCCTGGGTGATGAGTACACAATATATTTAAAAAAAAAAAAAAAAAAAATAAATAAATAAATAAATAAATAAATAAAAGCAAATTTATGCTACAAAGTAATTTAACTCTGCTTGAAAAGTACAAAATTCGAAACAGAGTTGTTGAGCAAATTTCATAGACAAAAGAAAAGAAACTAAAAACGATGGCATTTTTGTTTTTAAACATAAACAAATAATTAAAAAAATTATTTTAAAACGTTTCATCTTAACCGGCTAGAGAGGAGAAGGTTAAAAATAATTTTCTAACACACTTTAAGAAAATTTAAGGGATTAGATTTCTTTTTTTTTTTTTATTAACATAAAGCTCGTATTCAAAAAAAGTTACCCTAATAATGAATTTGTTAAAAAAAAAAAAAAATTCCATACAAAAATATATTCAATAAAATACTTACGTGATGATTTAGCGGTAAATGTCAAGCCATCATCCCAGTCATCGTTGGGTCCAACCACAGTTACTTCGGTTAATTTATTCGTAGGATTTTCCTCTGCCGATTCATGAAGTACTTCATTAATGTAATATTCTTTTTTTTTTTTTTTTTAAATAAAAAATTTTAAATTTTTTTTTTTTTTTTTTTTTGATAGTTTGTAAAATAGTAGTTTGGTGAGGCGGGAGAAATTATGCAAAAGAAAATGTGAAAGAAAAGTGGAAGCAGGGAAAAGAAATGGAAATACTTATGTATGCATGACTTAAATAAACTTAATGAAAATGTAAAATATGTGCGGATAAACCTACTCTTTCTATTAGATAAGAAGAGTCTAGGAATACAATATGGAGCAATAAAGTATAATAACATAAACAAATAATATCTGCTTTGGCCCAAATGTTCGCTATTTACCTCGTCAAGCCAGTTTACCAAAATTGCACGATATTTGTTCGATTAATGGAGCAGTCTTTTCATGAAATCATGATCATAGAACCATTGTATGAATATGAATCTGAATATCGTTTCTAAACCGATATTCTCAGGTATGTAAACTGAACCCTTTATGCTCACCTAACTGTATTCCTCTATATGGACGCAAGTACTATTGCTTTGAAGCTTGATCTACAAATGCTGCTATCTAAAGAACAAGGTACTCAGATATCCATCTCCCTAGCGGAAAGAAAACTATTGAGGCAATGATATAATTTTTTTACAGGACACTTCTAAGCTTTAAGCGTTCATAGTGGCTATATATATTCTTAGTTAAATTTTATAAGACACATAGCTAAAACCTAAACCTAACTCTGAGAGGGCGAGAAAATATTCAAGTTTTTATTTTCTAAATGTTTGGTTTAAATAGTGAGTTCTCTAAATTCGAATAACGGTGCTGACAACTTATCTTCGTTCTTTCGATTGATATGAGGGATGAAACTTTACCTACACTACACCAACGAAGAATACCTTATGAGAAAATCGATTTTGAATTCAAGCAAATGGCAAAAAGCTACTGGAAAAAGATAATTGGATCGCTATAATTTATTCTCTGCCCTGAAGTCACTGATTTCTTCTAACTGACTCACTTCTAACAACTGAAATTGGGCCATAACCTAAAGCAATACCTTTGTATTGATGAAAATGTAAATTTTTCAATTTTTATATGCCTTGAAATGCATATGAAACTATTCAACAAAGTCGCAAAAATGGAAGAGCTGCTCATACAGATCACAACCTGCTTATTGAAACCAGAAAAAATAGTGTTGAGTTTAGAGTCCCTCAACGAGGGTAGCAAATTTCATGTAAATACTACTAATGTCGCCTGAAAGGGTTTTACCACTGAATGTTATCAATCTAAAAAGTCACGGTATCATGCTGTTTAGTGCACATCTTCAGCATAATTTCTTCAGTTTTGTTGGCGGGGTTCCAAAGTGATTTCGTTTCGGTAGAGACATAGGCCCATCTTCTTTACGACAAAGGAAGTGTGATAGATATTCAACTTTAAATTCGACATTAACGACTTGCCTAACTTAACTCATGGTTTGTTGCACTACCAATATTTTATTGTCAACGGGCAGGAAAAAAGCAAACCTTCCCTTTGTTTTTTTTTTTTTTGCAAAGGGAAGCTAATAAAACTTATGCTGTGTAGATTTCAGGGGAAAAATTTACGCGGCAGCCTATGTACAGTGCTATCACAGGGACAAGTGAAATGCTTACAGAAAAAGTCTGGCATCTTGTAGAAGAGAAAATAAGGAATTGCTGTTATGTAAATGAAACTGAGAAAATGGAGGCATTTCCACTGCTGCCACATTCGCAACTTCATCGAGGCATTCGCTCAATATATCAATTTCATTTACCATACATAGGGTCGATAAATAGAGGTACGAGTGGGGAACAAACCGACATATCCCATCTTGTTTACAATAATAACTATAACTGAAGTTAATGAAACCTGAGTATGGAAATAAAAATAATCCTACATGAGGCTTAATGTATTATTATCAATGGATCCGTTTACCTATTTCTAATTTAGGTTATTTTTGAAATGAATTGTGAGTATGTTTTTTTGATTAGTTTTTTGCCTAAATTTATATCATTCTTACTCGTACCATGCGAGAATTGTTTCGTTGTTCCATTCTGTTGAAAATCATGGAATGATACATGATTTTGTTTAACGCCATCCGGATTCTAATAAAAAAGACGAAGAAAATGAAATAATTTGAAAATTTTCCGCCACTACAAAATAATGGGTTACCTTATTAACACCACGTTTACTGCGTTTATGATGTTTACGATCGTTAAACATACGTCGAAAATGCATCTGCATTTTGTAATTAACCTGCCAAATAAGAATAATTTAAAAAAAATTTTTTTTTTTTTTTTTTAAATGAATTCATTTTTAACATACCTGTGTTGACAAGTCACGATCGTCGACTGCATGACGACTATAGCTAAGACGACGATGCTGTAAATAAGTTTTTGAAAGTAAAGGAGAAAAAATTTTAAAATTACATCATTTTCTTTAAAGCAATTTTTTTTTTTTTTTTTTTTTTTTTGCATATATGCAAATATAAATGAGTTTATTAATTCAAAAACATTCAATAAAATAAATCCATAAAAAACATTTAATAATTAAACACATCTCACAAGTTTTAATTTTTAGGTATTTATCACTATATCTCATTATACTTTTCATTATTATTCATTATTTATATTCAGGTGATACATTATATCATAAAATTTAAAGTATTTACACACAATTACATAACTTCTATTTGAAAAAAGATTATTGATATAATTTAATTTTTTATTTATTTCATATTTTCTTTTTATTGTTAACATATCGTTACCACGCAGTGTCAAGCATTCGTAAAGGGTGGTCGAAGTGCCTCGATTTGGCCATGAAAGTTTATCCATCTTCTTCTTTTTGAAAATTATTAATTAACAATTATTTTTATGGTTATAATAACATTAGACCCGCTCTTTCACGGCCAACACACTACGTTCGAATATTATATAACTTCGTTCACAAAGAAAAAAGTGTTGAAAGTTGGGAAACATTTTGCTTCATTTCTCAAATGAAAAAAGGGTCTTAGTTAAGTTAACGAACGTATACTTGTTATGATGGTTGCGTGCGACGACCTGCTACTGCGGACAAAACGCAATGAGATTGTACTTTTTTTTTAAACATCCGCGCTATGATATCAATGTACATATTTTTTTAATAGGTTGGTGGGACTCTTGTGAACAGCTCAGAGAAATTTCGACACATATGCCTTGGGTTAGTAATGGCAGCGTTTTCTTTGCTTAAGTAATCGTGTTGTTAGCGATCTTTCTTTCCTCTGCAACACGAGAGTGTAAGTTGTTTCCGGGTCATAAGCATAAATCCAAGTTTCATCGCCAGTAATTATACATTTTAGATCATTATTACTAATAGAAAGCATTTCTATTGACACTTGTTTTTCAAACAAATTCCAAACAAGCTCAAATCATCCTTCCGTTGACTATTTTGACTTACGAATAAGGTGAACAAGGTCTCGTTGAGTCAATTGACGGTTGATAAATGTAAACTCTTTAAATTTTGCTCGAAATTTTTACCAGTAGTTGAGGTTGACAATCTTCCTGAGCGAGGTTCGTCTTCGACTACTTCATTGAATGATTTATAACATTTAAAAACTTGATGATCTTGATAAACACTCATTACCATAACAATTTTGTAACATTTTTAATAAAATTTAATGCAAATGCTTCGGTCAATAGACTTTTCCTTTCTACAAATCGCTGACGCAACATTGTTTAATACAAAAACAAAAGACACTGCTATTCCTGATCCAACGGGGCACGTGTCTCGAATTGCATCAATGTCATAGCGCGGATATTTAAAAAAAAAAACACTTTCTATTCACACTAATAGATGTAAGTCTTAATATAATTCGATTACGAAACAAACTAAGATATTCCATTGCGTGTAGCCCATACTCTTAGGAACCGTATGTGTGAAGAGTGCGTAAATAAAAATAATTATTGAACAAAATGTTTATGCTTACATAGCATGTTACCTTCACGACATTGTCGTGTATTCTTGACGAAACTAATCGCTACGGTCTTGAAATGTATCAATGGAAAACTAACAAATACAAGAAACCGGTGGATATGAGAAAACATTCGGCCTAAGCCGAGAAGAATTTCTTTTTTATTCTTTATTAATATAATAATTAATAAATTTTTTTTTTAAGAAGGTGCGCTGTTAACATGAACAACCAATTAAGTAATTTGAAAGTGCTAAGTTAAAAAGAATTTTAGGAAAAGTTTTTTGCACGGTTAATATATGTAATTGCAGCCAATTTCAAATAAAGACTTCATAAAAATCTAAGCAAGCAAACATAAAAGCCCATTTAAAAAAAAAAAAATAACAGAAATATTATTCGTTATAAGGTTTTTTTTTTAATTATTATAAAATGAAAAGTTTTCTAATTAACTTTTTTAAATATATATAGAAAAACCACTTTGGATAAATTTCTAATTTTTATGTCACGCCCTTATAGAAGAAGAAAAGATCAAATATTTTTTTTTCTGGCACAATTTTCTTCATTCGTTTTTGTCTTCTATACTACTTATAATACAAGGATGTATTAAGTTTGTGCGGATATATGCAAAACCTAGGAGGGTCCTAAGAATCTAGGAATCTAGGAACCTAGATCCACTTTTTATTATATCGATAGATTCGGAATTATATTCTGAAGCGAATTAAGCTGTTCTGTCTGTCTGTCTGTCTGTTTTGTTTTGTACGTTATATTGGTCGCAATTTCTGAGATATTTTCATGAAAGTTGGTACAACGATATCTTTTGGCCCAAGGACGAGTGCAATGGAAAATATGGATTGTGATCGGACCAATTTTTCAATCATCTCTCATATAAAAGGTTATTCGAAAAAGTCATTATAGAAATAACTGCATTAAGCGAGATGGTATAGGGTATTTAATTGTGTGCCCTATGCCACTGTAGTGTTTTTATTTGGTTGTCTTTCCTGTGAAGAAGGCAAAGAAAAAATAAAAACTTATGTAGAAAACTTTTCATTTTTATAAAAGTTGCCAAACACACTTAACAAATATGCAAATAAATGCTTTTAAAAAAATTTGAAAAAAAAATGTTGATTATAAAAATTAACATTCAAGGAGATTACTATTTCATAATAACTCTCATAGAATATTGTTAGAAGTTTTCTTATTTACAATATTTACTTTCAATATCTTTTGTACTCTGACAAGGCAATAAAAATGTGTTAAATTACCAAAAATATTCATTGTATTATTTATTTCCGGCAAAGATATTTTCATTAAAATCATTTAAGTCGATGAACGTTACGAAAGACTTCGTTGTTAAAATTTAATATTACCGAAAATGTATTTGAAATGTAAAGGGAAATCATAATGCATATAGCACTGCCCTTCTTCGTAAGCAAACGACTAATCGATCCATAATAAGTTTGTTTAGCTCAGTTAGCAATGCAGATTCGATAGCCAACTACAAAGATAATGATGTCCATATATGGACATATGTTGAAATAAACTTTTTCCTTTTTTTTTTTTTAGAAAAGCGAAAAACTTCATCGCAATACATGGCAACTGAAAGAGTAAGAGAGAGAGAGAGAGCTAGTTGGTGTAGCGTAAGGTTAGGCACTTTGCATTTAATCCGGCTACAGATGATTTCGACTGCACGTTATCATTAATTAAAAATAGAAAATAAATAAATAAATAAATTAAAATCTCTGCGAAAAATTCAACAAACTTTCGCAAAATTTCTTGACCTTAGAAACTGTCCCCAAATACCACGTAATAAATGCGTTCCATTTCTTACAGGTACTTGACATTGAAAATTTGAAGGTAAAAACAATTTTAACACCTTTTGTGGAGGAACGAAGGAACGGAAACACAAAGAAACTTTTAAGTGATACTTTAGAAAGCGTCAAGAAATACCTTCGACTCCTGAATTGCTCTCAGAATTTATGAGAATGAAAATACCTCTGCTGGGAAGCAGGTCATTCCTCAGAAAATTTAAATTAAAAAAAGAGAAACTTTTGAATAAGAAGATATACTTTTACTGTTTAAAGCGGAAATAAGTAAGAATCACACAGTCGCCAGTGGCCGCATTTTGTATACGAATCATCGACATCCTTAAAAAAAAAAAAATTAAATTTACCCCATACCCCATATAACTACTGTGTAGACCTAGCAAAGTTTTATCATGCATCATGTATCATATACTGCATCATGCTACATGTACTATAGGGTCACCCGTAGGAAGTGCATTTTATCATATTTGGATCTTGCATGCAAGAACTTTTAACCAAATTTTGTATTCCGACCGAGAGAATTTTTATCACACGTATATCACAGACGTTTCACAAAGTGAATATAATTCCAACCTCTTGGTTATGGGTATTAAAAACTGCATGTGAACATCACTGCATGTCGACATCAATTGAACAAAAATCTGCATTATTAACTGTTACAGCTAACGTTTAACAAACTCTTCACATTGGCAGCAAAGTTATTATTCTCTCAGTCCGAAAATATGGTATACATTTTGTTTCCTGATAAGTAACATAAATATTAGTTTAAAATAGAATAGATTTCACCTTACGATCGGCGGTGAATTGTTTTTTTTTTTTGCAATTTAAAATGTTTCTATCAAAATTAGGAATTTTTACTTTTCTTCTTTCTCTTTTGAGCACCGAAGGATATTTTCGATAAATAATCGCCGATTATATAAGAAATTCAATTCAAGACTTTTTTGGACATCTTTTCTTTTGGATTTTTGGAAAAAAAATTTTGAAAACACATTCGCATTCACCGGATGACAAATCATATTTTCAGGAAATTTCCATTTTAAGCGCAAAATGGCGACATATAGGAACAAACAGCGGTAAAAGATCTCAATGAGAGAAAGGATTATCATCCGAACGCAAAAAAACTTCTATGACTTGTATGTTTATATGTAATAAAGATTTTAATTTTTTTTTTAAATTCGTATTTTTTAGCGAACCTAAGATTATATTACCTCTTAAGCCTTTTATTTAACAGTTGCTATGCAGTGTTTTACTTTAAATTCAAAGTAAATAATGTTTTGCTTTCACGTCTTCTATAAAATTTATACCATAATTTCGAACAAATTGCACTACATTTTATTTGTTAACATAAATGAAACATTTTTTTGCTAATATTTGAAAAATTAGGTTAATTAGGTTATTTATACATCTTTTTAAGGAAAATAAAAAATGATCTAAAATTTTAGGAAGAAACATTAAAAAGTTTAACTATATGAAAAAAAAAAAAAAATTTACTTTTTAATTAAAGAATAAATATAGAAACAAAAAAAAAATTAAACAGCAAACTCAAATCAAAAAGATGCATTAGTTATTAAAGAAACAAAAAAAGGTAATTTTTGATAACATTTTTGCGAAAATTTAATAACACGTTAAATAAATTGAAAAAATGTAATACAACATAACTGATTGCTAACAAAACCAACCCATGACATAAATAAAAAGAAAAAATAATAAATCAACAGATAAATTATAATTGAGTTTTTATCCGTACCATTTGTATAGAGGCCTTGGCGTTTTATTTTTTTATTTTTTTTTTTTTTTTTTTGGTTTTGTTTGGTTCAATAAGGATATAATTTTTGAAAATTAAAAAATAAAAATAAATAAATATAGAACCAAATTCCATGAATATTTTGTAGACAATCAATCAATTTTTGGTTGACCAAATAAAGCACAATTTAACACGCGTTATAATATGATTCAAGGGGAAAAGGAAGAGAGTAAAAATTATATTAATAAATATTTGCTTATTTCTGATGTCTAATAATATCTAGCAAAATACGTATAAGAAAACGTAAGTTATCAGTTAAAATAAAAATTTTTATATATTGATTGATAAATAATAAAAGTATTCGGATAGTGATTTTTATCGTATAAAAAAAGTTTACAAAATAAAAGGAAATTTTGTTTGAACTTAACGTTTAAATGCGATCAAGTTGAAAATTAAAATTTTGAAAATTATCACAAATATTAATATTAAAATACTTAAAAGAGCAAACTTTATTATATCCGTCACCAGCCACCTTCAGACATTCAAATACATTTACTTTGTAAAGGTAATCGAAAAGCTTGAAAAACCAAGGCTATCAAAGCTTAGTGTGATCTGCTCACCCTCCCACCCAAACCGCTCCGCCCGCTCCCAAAAAAAGGACTTTTTTATTTTAGAAAGGGTACATAAGTTTCCATATACGGAACTGGTTATAAAATGGCCTCGGCTTTTTCCTTCTGTGCTTCTATGCTTCGATATCTTATTCTAAGTTATGTAAGACTTGCAAACGAGTCACGACATTATTGCTACTCACAGCTGGTAAGAAATTTTGCGGATATACACAATAAGGCCTTAATTCCCGTTGCTTTATCTTGGTCCCAAGAACACTCTACTGTGCTAAGAACTTTATGCAACCTATCCTTTTGAAAACGTGTCGATTCATTTCCGTTGTAACCATTTCAGATCCTCCTCTTAGGCTTTGCTGAATTTTGATTCGAACTACGGACAGAAACTACAATTTATTGATTTATATTTTACAGGTATTTTAAGGGCAACTTCTTCTTCTTATTAATTAATCTAATTAATATAGATTGGATCTGCGATCGTATGGCCTGCAAATTTTGTTGATTTCTTTTACAGTTTCATCAAACAGAGCAGCTTGAGAGAGAGAGAGAGAGAGAGAGAGAGAGAGAGCTTGAATTAACATGAAGCAACAGAGATACATTCAGTCATTTGTTTTCTTAAAGGGAAATATCACAAATCGTTTACACCGCAAGCGGTCAAAAATCACACTTAAAAATGACGCGAGAGACATCCATCGGAACCGAAAATCTGCTTTAAGCATCAAGAGCAACTTCCTCTGAACTACCTTTAAGTTGAAATGAGCTAACAAATCTTTGAAGGCCAGGTGATGATGGATATTTAAGATTCGCCCTTGGGCGTACACGATTTTCTCCTTCAATTTTTTTTTGCTTTATTATAAAAAGTTGAAATCATTTTAGAACTTACCCTTCTGTATGGTTTAAGTTCTTCGGCCAATAAATGATGGATTTTCGCATCTGTTAAATCTTTTTTCGAGGGATTATAATCCAATTCATGCATATCCAAATTACGCGAACAAGTGTTGTCCAAATTTGTAAGACTGGGGCTATAAACAAAAATAAAATTTTTTATTAATTTTTATAAATATATATGTTTGACAAATTCTTCTGTAATATTATTTACTTTCATTCAGCTAATATAGATAATAGAAGTTTTAGTTTAAAAAATTAGTAAAACTATAAATAATATAGACAAGTAAACGAATTTCAGATAAAGTGCATTTTTATACTACAAGTGAAAAAAAAAATTTATTATTAGAAGAAGAAAGACAGAGCGTTTACGGACCATGGAAATTGGCCCTTTTTTCAAAAACATTAAAAAAAAGAAAATGAAAGAATTTTATTAAGACATAACGTTTTTCTTGACTTAAGAAAATCTACATAGAGTCTTACTTGCAAGAACGAAATTGACGTCCAGTCATACGTACCAAGAGAGATTTTCACACATGCCTAGTCGATTTATAAATTATAATAATTGTAAATAACGATAATGTTAAATATTAATAGAATTAAACTGAATTATGTACAATAAATAAAGAAAGAAAATGCAAAGCAAAGCAAAATAAAATACAAAAGTAGTTTATATTCGATAAGGTCTATCCCCCCCTCGAAGAGTCAAGGAATCGATTTAAACTAATATTTCACAATTTCTAAATGACAAGGTTTTCGATGTGGGCGCCGACCCTGAAATTTCAATCTTTCAATGTGAAAAACATCCCTGACAAACGCTAAACATCTAACTGATCTCTAACTGAACTCGACACGATGTCTCCCAAGAAGGTTTATTCTGTTCCTTTTTTTTTTTTCTAACTTCAGACACTTCAAAATGAAATGATAAATGTTTAGTCGATAAAAAGGTTCTAATAATGCTGAAATTTCTTTACTTTTCCTTTACACCATTCTCCTCCCGTATTTGAATATTAAGCAATCACTGTTCCGAAACTTTAAAAAAACAATCAAAGTCACTCTTCGAAATTTAAAGCACTTCAAATTAGACGACAATCTTCCAAAAAATTCGTCGTTCATCATCAATTATCACAAGATGTCTTGCTCCGATTTAAAATTTTTGCTACGAAAGCATAAAAGAGTTTAAGCAGGTGAGAACGTGGCTTTTAAGATAAGTCTTCACTCTAGTTACCAGCTAAATATTCACTCACTATAAGAGACCATTCGAACGACAACACGTTTCACCAAATGTTATGAACAAGCTTATAAGGTGTGTTGTGCTGGTGTACATCTTGAGCAGCTTCTCTAAGCTCTAAGACGTTTCAGATTTTCTCTCTCGTTAGGCATAAATGAGGCAAATCAGGATCGGTTATGATTTCCTGGACTTCCTTGAATGTTTTTCCTCTTCTGTACGCTTACAATGTCTTCTTTGAAAAGACAAACTTAACACAATTTATTCACATAAAGATCCTAAAGCAAAAGGACTTAATTGATATATAAGTGAAGAAAGGAAACTCCTGCTGTTAACACATTACTTGTATGTGATACCAATAGTTATACACACGAGAAAATCAAAATATATCAATTTGGAAGAAGATGAATTGGAAAAATGTTAAAGATGACTTCAGAAGACCGAATAAGCTTCAGTTTTTCTCCGTTTATCTAATTATATTTCAAGTAGAAAGTAAAAGGGAAAAGTAAACTAAAAAACGTAAAGTAAAAAAAGCTTTTAATTGAAAATAATTATCTAAATGATAAGTTTGTTAATTTACAAGAAAATAAATATTATATCAAGCGAAAATAAAAGTAAAAAATTAAAAAAAACTTATGTACTTTTAATTGAAATTTAAGAAACCTGTAAAAATTGAAAAAAAAAAAAAAACAAATGAAAATATATTTTTTATCTACTCAAGTGCTTTCAACACACTCTAGATTTAAGTGCCCATCATCAGAAGGTTTGTATAAACATGCACTACTTTTACAATCATAAGCATTATGATTAGAATTTTTTGTTTCTTTTTCTCTAAAATTCGTTTACCAGGTTGTGTATATTGTCGGTGGTGCCCACCTGCCACCAATGCAATTATTGGTATAATTTCGGAATAAAGCACTCATCGATTCGGTGCCAGTGATCTGACCGATTGTTGAGGGATTACGTCGCATAACTTCGATGGCATCACGCATTGTCAATTTGGAATAAGTTTCAATAATTTTCGGCTCCGCGCCCTGTGCACATATATATACAATAAAAAAAAAATATATAAATAAATAAATGAAAATATTCAACAATAATAATTTTCTATTAGGTGAATGGTGGATATTCTTAGATTAACTCGAACATTTTTTTTTAAAACAACTTAAATAAAATAACGTAAAACCAAGATTATGAAACAAGAAAACGAAAACTTGGGAACACAACAACTTCCAACTTAAAATTTTTATTTAACTGTCAATTCTTGTTTTCGCAAATCCTTTAAAGGCCTTCTTCTTCTTCGTCGTCGTCTGAATATATCCTTCGCGAAGGATGAATGAAACCTTCAGTGGATTGCCTAAAAGATGTTCGTCTTCGTTTTCGTTCTTGTTCTTTTTTCTGTTTCGCAATAAGCGAAGTATAATCGGCAATCGGTACTTGACCCAACGTATGCATATCCCACTCTGCCTATTAAGAATAGTCGTCGTTTTTCAAAAAATAATATACATTGTAATAAAATTTCACCAAAAATTATAAAAATACTTTCAAAGAAATAAACTCTCGATTAATGAAAGAAGATTTTTTTGTTTAATAAGAATTCAGAATAATATCTCAATCAAATTAGATTTTGAATTTTCCATTCCGTTTCAATTGCATTTACCTTAAGATCTCTTATTAAGAGAGGACGTATGAAACGATTGTCGAAACGTTTAAATTTATCGCGTACATTATAATTGCCTGTCTTTCCGACAATATCTTCAATTCCAGCCATTAGATGATCCATAAACTACAAAATTTAAATAATACAAAAAAAGATTTAAATTGAAGTGAATTAAATGTGACTTACTCTCTCGTGGATGCGTTCATTCATGGTGGGTTTACGTTTACTAGCCCGTTTAACATTTAAAATTTTCACCAGCGGCTTTATAGTAATACCTTGAACAAATACCGTAAAATATATCACAGCTATGGTAGTAGTAACAAACATATTTTTCTGAGGCACTAAACCCTCATCGATTAATAGGACAAGAGCAAAGGCGACGGCGCCACGCAAACCACCGTAAGACATAACGAATTGATCAACCCGTGAAAGTTTATGTAAACGAAAACGATTTGCCAAAGCTGACAAGATAATGACACCTTAATCCGAAACGAAAAAAAAAAATTAATTGTTTATATACATATACATATATAATCGCAATTCGCATCTTACCTATGACACGATATACGGAACAAAATACTATGGTTAACACTACAAACCATGTATTCCAGTCATGACCCTTATCGACGGTAGCCACTCCCAAAAACATGAATATTATAGTCTCCGAGGAACTTGACAACATTTTTAAAGCATATTTGACTGTTGTATGAGATTTTTGTGAAATATTCGACTCCACATAATTCTTCATAGTAATGCCACAAAACGTAATCCTAAATATCGAAAATAAGAAAAAAGAAAAACAATTATGAAAATTATATTCACCTGGAAATCAATCTTATATGCCTGCAATTTCTAAGATGTGTATAAAAGCTAGCCAATTCTTCGCTAATTTCAGATGGCCCTGTAGACCAAGGCCTGTAAAATATATTCTATCAAATCCACTAAAAACTGTTAGCAGCAAAACCTTTAAAGTTTCGAAATTTTGAATTTTTTCAACACACTCATTACAAACTTGATTGATAATATATGTGGTATACATGTGTTAAATTCCAAATATCTCCCGCGCTTTTTTCAACCTTAAATCTTTCAGCAATACAACGATGCATTGACGGCTACATCGATTCATATCTGACTGCTTTACCGTCTTAGTGAATAATTTCATAGATATATTAATATTTCCGGAAATTGTAAAGAGGATTAGCTCACACTACTAGGTATATCCTACGTTGCGGTGAAGAGATAATCAAAGACGGAGACATAGCACTAGTGTAACGAAATCTTCAGATAAGTGAAGCCGACGCTAAGAGCGTCAACTAAAGTTGATAAAGGAACGGACTAAGATTAAGCGTCTTAATCTATACTTCCAAGAGACATTTGCTGTCATACGAGAAAACTAGGTCTGCATAACACCGTGAACTCCCCAAAAACCGTCAAAAGGAAAACAATAGAAAGAAAAGTATGGAATGGTTAAGCATCTTAATATTTTTTTAAAACAGATTCGTCAACGTTTGAGAAAGCTTGTGCTAGTTCTAGACTTTTATAGAACTTGTCAAGTCCTGACAACAACGGTATGTGCGGCCTGCCTGGAAGTATTGAAATTGAGTTTAATTAATGAAGGAATTTAAAGTTTAAAATCACGTTCTAGCAAAAAAAAAAAAAACTATACTTCGTAAATATTTCACGAAGCATTGAAAAGGCCATTATTGTAAATGACACTAAACTGTTGTTAGTCGCTTATTAATCCACATGGAAATAATAGTCGGTCTCCTAAATTACTTACGCCATTATACCGCTCATATGGAATATTTCAGCATTCAGATAAGCCAAATAGGCCATAACAAATATAAAAATGGGCTCTATAACGCGCACATGATCAGTAAAACGTGTAACCAGACCAGTTAAGAATCCCCAAATGATACCTGAATATAAAATATCACATTAATACACTTTCAAAGTCGTCAAAAGCATTACAAGAAACTTACCAATAACGGTACCACCCAAAGCAACTACGAAAAACGAACCTACACCGCTAATAACATCTTGCACAATAATATTGTTTAGACCCATTTCGTTGTAGACTTCCATCATATGATACATGACGACCTAAATAAAAATAATAATAATAATAAGATAAACAGATTTATAAAATGTTGAAGGAAAAAAGGAATAAATATACGAATGAAAGGTAATAATAGAATAGCATGTTTAAATAACACTGCACAACTGCATACACACTGACGATCGATAATACGCCCAAAATAGAAAGAAATATCTATACAGATTATGCATAGCATATTGATTACATCTCTGAAAACAGTGGAGATAAAGTCTGTCTTGGCTTTTGAACAATTGCTTGTAAGCCCTTGGTTCGATTTGGCTAATTTTTAAGCTTTGAAAAGTCATTAAAATTATTTACACTCTTCCAATTTGTACACACCTCAGCGGTGTACGAAAGTTAGCAACCATGTTTAAGCTTCATAATTCTTATGAAAATAAAACCATGGACCGTAAATTAATACCTTTTTTTTTATTTTATATATAGAATAAATTCCCCTGATCAAAAAGACTAATATGATATTGGAATTATTTTTGGGAGCCGATATTTACTATTAATGAGATGATCCGCATTTTCCGCTGTCCGATTTATACTTAACCGGGTCCGCACGGCCTGCGGTTTGTATAATAAGTTAATGCGGTTTGTATAATAAGCCTAATACTAATCTGCCTTTTGTTATGTCGATATATTTTTTGGTCAACCTACAGGTCGCAATATTTAAGATTCCGAACGAACACTGTTGAGTTTGTATCGGATTGGATATGTAACCGCACCCTATACATGGAGTGCAATATTGAAAAACTTGCGATAAAAATCGCAGAGTTATAGTGCCTCAGCAGTACACTATTAATTTGAAAAATTTAGATGGTACGGCCCAATTCATCAAACAACATCCTCTATATATGAATTCTCTATTTAATTTTGATTAGCTTATGATAAAGATTGCTTTATAATAGTAATTTAGCGTTAAATTTAATTTGAGCTACTTAGGTCATATTTCTGTACGACAGCCCAATAAGGATTCTCGTGAAAAGAAAGCCTTTATATTTTCAAAATCAAAATTTTCAGAACAAAATTTTGTGTAGCGGTCTTCTGTCAACATATATACATCATATATATACATACAAGAAATTTACGAAATTTGTACCAAGTTAGAACACGTTTTGGGGCTCTTCCCATATCAGGGCTCTGACGAAAAGTGTACCTTCGTATCGAACAAGATTACAACTTATTGGTATTCTATGACGAAAATAAATGAAAAAGTGATGTAAGATATTTAATAGTTGGCCCTTCTCAACTAAGATGGTTTTACTTGTGTTCTTGGCCTCTTTTGCGACCGATGCGCGAGAACTGTCTCAAAATGTTTCTGGAGAGGCCATATAAAAACCTTCCATCTCTATATCTACATGATAATTTGACATGTACATGAGAAAGAGTTTATTGTAGGTCTGATTGGTTGAGTAATAGAAAACTATGACAACCACTTGCTTAGTGTTGTTTACTTTACGCGAAAATAAATATATCAATTATTTAAATTTTTTCCTTTTAGCATTCCGCTGTTCTTATTGTTATTGTCAAAACGTTGTCACACGAGTTTTTATTTACAATTTCATAAAAAGATAAACTTAAACGTAAATGTTAATGTTTATGCAATGGTCCAGAGACTTTAATTTTAATATAAACTGATTATTAAAAAAAAACAAAAAAAAATAAATAAATAAAAAAAAAAACCAGATGTAATGTTTATTTTTAATTTTCCTCTATCAACAATAAAAACAATAAATTACTATTAAAAGTAGTCTTTGTTTTTGTTGATTATAATAGAAATGTTTTTCTCCCAATATATAGATAAAAGCAAATAAATTAATTCACAATCGTGAAAAAATAATAGAAAAAAAATATATATATACATATATATTTATATATATATATATGTTCAATTTATGGTATGAACTTAGCGCGTTTGTATTTCAAAGGAATTGAAGGTAGGCAGAATTGATTCTCATATAAAATATTAGAGAATTTATTAGCCTTCAACTAAATACGAAGAATAAAGAAAATTATGAGAAATTTTATTATAAATAATGAAACTTGTGCACTGACAGGTGAATGGACGTGCTTGCAAACGCGTTTAGAGAATACTACATAAAAGAGAATGTATAGATTGTTTCCAAAAAAGTATTGAACCTTCATCAAATCATTACCAAATTATATATATATATATATACGTTTATATATATATATATATATCATTAGGAAACTTTAAAGTAACTGATATTCTATCAGATTAATTAGAGCATCAGTTATAGCGGATGATTCTCTGGTATGAGAATATAAAGAAAAATCAATATGCATAGAATAGATATTTGAAGAGCATATTAAACTTGTATTAAATGAGGTTAAATACTACAGGTGAATGAATATAAACATAATGATAATAATATTGTACACACCATCACACATCATCATCATCATTTTCATCATTTGCATATAAATGTCACTATATATATATATATATATCATTAATAACTGCTAATGCAGAGACGTGATAGAGTAAATGCACATATTGAAAGTAATGCCCTCAAGTGTTTGAATTGCTGATGACATAAATTGATAGATAGAAATAGCGCATATTGTTTGATTATAAGTGTGCTATACATACCGTAACAGCATCGTTAAGTAGAGATTCGCCAAAGACGACAATATATAAAATTTCATTGACATGAATTTCCTCGAACACTGCAAGCACAGCTACTGGATCAACAGCCGATATTAAGGAGGCAAACAAGAAAATATCTAAAAATTTAGGCGCATCTTCTGGTGAACCGAATATACCAGTCTGGCCACAAGCCCAAAGTGACCCGCCTATAAAGAAAATTTCAATTAAATAACAAAAAACATACGTTCTCCTCCCAACTATCAAAAGATCAACAAACACATCTTTATATTAGTTTGGGGAAAAAGAAATCCATTATTTTTATATGAACTTCAGGACTTTATTTAACATGCTTCGGATTGTCCGATTTGGGTCAAATATGCACCGTTTTGTTGTGTGAATTGTTGCCATTTTAAAGGTAACTTCAAAATGCCTCTCTCATAGAAGCCCTGGCCTCTATTTGCAAAAAACTCTAGTAGTCGATTTTCACAATCCCCCTTGATTCCAATTTTTTATCATTAAAGAAATTTTGCAATGCAAGAAAAAGATGATAATCTCTTGGTGTCAAGTCCGGACTGTATGGCGGATGCATTAAAACTTCCCAACCAAGCTCCCGAAGTTTTTGGCGAGTCACTGTAGATGTGTGTGGCCTAGCGTTGTCCTGGTGGAACACGACACCTCTCGTGTTGACCAATTCTGGCCGTTTCTGGTCAGTCGCTATCTTCAAACGGTCCAGTTGTTGACAGTAGAGATCAGAATTTAGCGTTTGACCATATGGAAGCAACTCATAATAAATAATCCCCTTCCAGTCCCACCAAATGCATAGCAAAACCTTCCTGGCCGTTTGAGGTGCTTCACCGCTCTTTGACCACGATCGTTTTCGCACAGGATTATCGTATGTAATCCATTTCTCATGTCCAGTCACCATCCGTTTAAGAAATGGGTCTATCTCATTCCGTTTGGCCAAGGCTTCGCAGATGGAAATTCGATCCATCATGTTTTTTTCTGTTAATTGGTGTGGCAGCCAAAGATCGAGCTTCTTTTTGAATCCAGCTTTGTGTAAATGGTTTAAAACTGTTTTATGGTCGATTTTTAGCTCCTGGGCGATGTTACGACTGCTAACATGCCGCTCAACTTCGATCATTTCTCCGATTTTTTCGACATTTTCGACGACCGGCCTACCTGTGCGAGGTGCATCTTTAACATCAAAAATTCCTGAACGGAATCTACGAAACCAAAATTGCACATAATTGGCTGTTACAGTATCGGAACCATAAACACCATTCACAATTTTAGCCGCCTGGCTTGCATTTTCGCCTTTGTCAAAGAAAAACTGTAAAATGTACCGAATTTTCTCTTTGTTCACTTCCATTTTTAACACGCTGTAACTCACAACTGAATGCACCAAACAAAAAACAGTAAAAGAATTTTTTTTACTGCGAAATGTCACCTTTCCAACGAGCATAAATCTGAAATTCTTTGATCGATACTTTATGAGAAATCTAACAGTGCAGCCATCTACCGAAAAAATAATGGATTTCTTTTTCCCCAAACTAATATATATCTATATATATATGTAGAAATATTAGGAAATAACAAACCAATGGATGGTCGAAAAGAAAAGAGCACATGAAGATTTTTTCTTACTAACAATTAGGTCAACAATCAGAATAAATTTGTGGAAACTTTGTGATAAATAGCGTTCAATGTTCTTCACATTTTCTAATGCCAGTCTTAAAATCCTATCATTGTATATTCGTATGGAAACCTATCCACTTTCGTTTACTTTAAAAGAATTTCCAACATTTTTTTTGTTTATTGCGAACATGTATACAACAACGAGTTGCTGTTCCTGTCATCTTGTAAAGAACATACATATGTTAGGTATGCACGCAACTTTGCCTGTTATTGACATTGAAAAATTGTTATGTGTTCACACACATATGTGGATAAAATAACCCCAGCATGTGTTGTATAAAGATTCTTATGTACGATTTAGATGTTAACCACGTAAGCAGCGATGGCATTTAAGGGCACCCTTAACCTTTTTAAATTCAATTTTTTGAAAAAACAATGCAAGTTTAATACACGTTTTCTTTGATAACTCAAACTCATTAAAAACGAAAATTGAATTTCAATTGTGACTAAATTTTATTCAAAAAAACTCTGATAATCTGTAGGAGAGAATAATTTATTTCCTCATCAATAAGAAAACTACTCAAATGATTATATTGCTTATCGGTGTGAGGACTCAAAGTCGTACCTCGTTTTGGCCTCACGGGTTCTCTGTCTCTGGCTGGGGAGAGAGGGAGTGCTAGAGAGTAGGATAGACATAGGATAAGAATAGATTAAGATAGAATAGTAATAGATTAAGAATAGAATAAGCATAGAATGGGGTAACTTTAGTTTCAATTAAGTGAGTCCAAGTTGCATTTTTTATCTTAATTTCCATTACAATGGTAACCCAGAAATTGACTTTCTTCACTTCTATATGCAAATAACAAGTACCAGCATATATATGCATGTAAGATACATAAATGTGTATATACAATATTGATCTAACAGAGTCACAAGAGCATACAGAAAACTGCTTGCGACTCGGTTTTGGGGTTTCCGTGATGTTCTCCAGACAATGGCCAGAAGTCTAGCTGCGCTCGGCCAAATTTTTGACATCCGCAATCTAAACGTAACCGTCTATGCGGATATAAAAGTTCGTCTCTGGACTTAGCAGAGGCTTGTAGATAAGCGGTTATATTGAATGGGAGAAATGTATTCGAAAAAAGTCCTGTTAACATAATTTTTACCTGAAGCTACATTATAGCCTATGACGATCTTATTGATTAATTCATATAAATGATATCTTCTCATCTCCGCTATATGTGAGGAGCCGACATTGCGGTTTGTTGTGAAGTTTCACAGAAGGAGTGAATCATTTTGTCTCTTCTTTTTCCTCTTGGCACAGTTCTACGTTTCTAAGTTCAATGGTAATGATTTATATTTCTCAATCTTTTTGATCCACCTGCTAAAGATTTCCTTAGATTAACCCGATTAAATTCTGAATTTTCATTGTGAGCACATTTGAGTTGTATGAGGCGGGGTTTCGCCTTTCACTGTTTAAGCCAATTTACTGGAAATGCTATAACGGTTACTTTGCGAGTAACGAACGAGCTTTCTTAAAAAAAGAGTAATCGAAAAAAGAGACGAACATTTCTTCTGATGCTGCCGTTCAGCCTCTTCTAAGTGAGTTTCCTTTTCATTTGAGAAGAATCCGAAGAAAACCATAATTATTTTCTTAAGCTAGGCGCTTCTTAAACCATCAGATGGTTTACATTTTTCCACATCCGCATTATTATTAGTCTCGCTCAACGGTATTATATTTATTTCTTTAAACTACATGGTCGTGCGGCAGACTGTGACTGAAAATTATTATTCAGGAAAAATGTTATACATACAGACTTACAGACCAAGTGCTTTGAAACTTAAATTTAAGATCTTTCAAAAGTGGAATTAATCGATTTGCGCTATGAACGAATCAATTATATCAAAAATTAAATCATTCCAATTAGTTAAAAAATTGCCAAAATTTTTGAATAGGAATTCGGAAAGCAAGTGAAATCTTAACCGCATTTCCGGACGAAGAATATGTATTGTTTACTAATATACATTAATAAGAGAAACTTGAATGAATTTCTTCTTGAATCAAATTTTCAATTCTATTGTTGTAATCCCCAACAAGGAGATCATGTAAACGAATGCATTGCATATAATAATCAAGTGGGAGTTAGGCGTAAAACGAAATACACATCTTTGTTTTCAAATTCAATTGATGTGTAAATTTACTTCTCTTTTCCTGCATAGCTAAAGCTTTTAACTGCTTAGGAAGCTTATGCACGATTTGTGGAATAATTACAGCACAATAACAAAACGCGTTAATATTTAGATGCGCTCATCGAATCAACTTCAAGTCAATAACAAACATCATGTATGCAGAATGTCAAACACATGACTACAAAGTTAACATTTGCACTAGAAAAAAAAAAAACTTATTCAATGAATTAATGGTTAAAGTTAATTGAAAATTTAAGTAAAGTGAATTAAAATGACAATACTATCACGAATGATTTATAGTTTGAGTTCGCATTTGATATTTCATTATATCAGTGAACCTAACCTCACCTCTATTCAATTACATTTCAGACGTAGAAGTAAACTACGAACGTCACCTTAGACATGTAATTAAATAAATATAACATTGACTGATCGTTATTTACAAACGAACTATAAGGGACAATGAAATTTTGCGTCGCTTTATACGATATAGGTTATTAAGAGAACCATGTCAAGAACTGTATTATTTCAGTTTACTAGCTTTTATCCAAGTATGCTTTGATAAATCGAATTCGGCTTAAACATTTGAGCCCCGAATAAGGGATCGTAGATTTAGCTTTCTGGTTCAATTTTGCCATGTTCAACTTACACTAAAACAAGACGTGACAAAGGAATAAATAAAAGGACCAAAGTGAACATTTTAAACCAAACCGTGGGGTATATGAATGTTATTCAAGGAATTTTTTTTGCCAACATTAAATCCTTTTGATAAAAAAAATCGTTTGACTCTACTCTTGTCAGTCTTCAAGAAAAATATGAATTCCGCTTATAACTGGCAGCTTGAGACGCTTATCCTTTTTTTTTTTTTTGAATGCCATCAGGACAGACGACTTTTCCTTTAGTAAACACAATACTTTCGCAAGCAGAAGTCACAAGTATTTGCTCATCTATGATGTACTAGTAAAGCTGACTCTTAGCAATCGCTTATATATTCGTATTCGTGTACCTCCAATGAGAAATTGTCAGACGAAGCTTATGTTCGAACTTGGTGTTGATCTGTCAACTAAGGATGCATATATTTCAAGCACGAGGCTCTCATTGTCTCATCTCAAAAATTGATTTTGAGATTCTCTCTATTGCCTGTCACTCACGACTGCACAAACTGAAATGAGAACGTTGTGATTTATGGAATTTACATTCCTAGTTGATGGATAGTATTTATTTTTTTAAGACGATGAAGGAAGTCAATCGTCTCACAAGGTAATGGTCAGAACATAGCGAGAGAAGAGAGAAAGGAATTTGGTTCCGCGAAGACCGATTTGGTACTCTATCTACTCGAGAATGCCATGGGTATACGGCGTTTGATACACTTTGGCTGGAAGATTGCCAATTGAAAGAAAGATTGATTTACAATACTCTCATCCTCTTATAGTGGTCCCAAAAAAATTAATTTGATTTTCGATAATTAAAAGCGAAAGAAAGCAATTTCTTTAACAAATAGAATATAAAAAAGTTTTTTTGTCTTGTCTGTATGGATTACGATGGAGATTCAGACGTTAATCGATTAATAGCTTTCATTAGCAATTTTAGAAAAATTATGAAAACGTTTAATGTAAGAGCAAATAATTTGATTATACAGTTTATGAAGACAAAAAGGTGCATACCACTTAGCGCAGCACTAATGCCTTTTTGCTATGTTTTTGCTATGTTAATATGCAAATAATTACTACTAATAAGTTAATTAAAATGCAGTTAATTGAAAGTAGTTAGAGCCACATTGTTTATCAAAGAAGACACAATTGTTTTCACAACGAAAACAAAGAAAACAAAAAGTTAAATTGAAAAACCAACTAAAACTATGCGCTAATGAAGTGCCAACAATTAATATATTAATAACAATTTTCACATGAATAATAATGAAAACAAGCAAAAAAGACTATAGTGGACCATAGCCTACCGTAAAATACACTGCATCACTCTACAATTATTCAGTCTATGGGAAACGATCGGAAAATTGGTTCGATCCGAACGATTTCCAATGCCACGCGTTGTTGGACTAAAACGCATCACTGTATCAAACCTTGTCAAAATGTCTTAAAACATGCGACCTGCAAGAAAACCAAACGGACAGATAGACAAAAGGAGAAACAATTTTAGATCGAGTCAGATATTGATTCTAATCGTACTACAAGAAAGTGAATCTGTCTATCTCAAGTGCTTCTGGATATTGCATACATATGCACAAACTTAATGTACAGTCGTACACCATGTGATGGCATATGGCATAAAATATATTTAACAAATATTTGAAAAAAGAAAATAGTCCGTCATACTTTGAGTGAAAGAGTGTTTAGTTAAACAAATCCAATTTATTTCCAGCGGATTAGGTAAAGCAATTATATCACACATTACGCATTTTCTCTCTAAAGCATTAGTGCGGGCAAAGGTGTTCGTTGGACAGAATATACATATACGGAGTGTCGAAAGATGAAGCCAGGGGCGTAGGTTTTTAAAAGCGTTGTACAGAATACTTCAATGCAGCCAATATCCATACCATTTACACAACCTATATCCAGCCGAAATTAGAGTATAACCCGTATGTGTTGGCAGGAGCCTCCAAACTTTGCTTGGAGAAGCTCGAGCGCATACTGCGAAACGAGCAGGTGCTCTTTGATCGCGAAACACGCTCGACAACTTCGGGCATCGGCGTAATGTAGTGTGTGCAGTGCTCATATGTAGGTAAATTGACGGCAAGTGTTCTACAGAGTTAAAGAAGGTTTGCCCACCAATTAATTCCCTTAAGAAGATTACGAACCCTTGTCAGCATTGCCACCCACTCATCCTGAAATTGCCCATATATCGTTCGACATTCTCCCTCGACTCGGCATTCTGTGAGCGCGTTGGCTGCGTTTGAAACATTCTACCAACAGGGGTTTTCCCGTCATGTCTAATATATCAAACATTAAGTGGAACATACATAAACACTACTCTCTCCTTCCATTCTTCCCTACCTTGAACCCTTCCTTAACCTAAGATGATGCCTGCGCACATCCTGTGAGTATTCGATCATACACCAAAAAACAAAAACAAACTTCGAAAAAACTTCGGCACTCTTAGCGCAAAAAAAAAAAAAAAATCTGATTTGTTAAAACTTTCAGTTTAGTCATTTCAGAACAACAAACAGGGATGAAGTCCTTTATTACAGGAGATTAATAACATTTATTAAAATAGAAATATAAATTTCAATCATCTTATCTGAGATCCCTGAGCCAGTCTTCTTCTTTAAAATAAAAACAATATTAAATCAAATGTCGCGACTATAAGTAACAATAATACGCGGAAACATAAGACTATTAATTTACATCTGTCATTTGATATTGCTCAGAGCAGGCCTTACGTGAAGCACGCTGTTCTATCATAAACTAACACAATTTCATTGAAATTTATTAAATTCATTGAGACACAATTGTTTTATGCATCCCCAATAGAAGGAAGCAATTAAGACTGGAGTGTCGAAGAATTTAAATAAATACGAAGATGCATTCAAGAGTCAAACAATTAATTTTATATACACATATGCATTATATGCATACATACATAAATACATTATTTTTCGTTCCATTCTATTAGAGAAACATTTAAACACTTAAAAATATTAAATACTTGGATATTTTCTTAAATTGTTTTTTTTTTAACTTACCAATCGTCGCTATATTAAATATGGTACCGACCACAGCCATTAACAGAATAGTACCCAAATTATCGAAGAATAAACGATTCGGCATAAAATACCCAGCGTCTAATATAATCGGTGGTAGCATATAGAAGAAGAATGTATTGGGCGTTAGGGGAGAAACACCTACATTGGTACCAAAGAACAGTACAACACCGATAACCACACCTACCACGATGAGAAGACAGGATTCAGGAAAGATCAAATGCAATTTGGGTGTCATATGGAAACCTGTGGTAGGAAAGAAAACATAGAAAATGTAAAAAGAAAAATAATTATTGAAAACTTAAAACATTTTTCCAAGTACAGTACTGACAATGAAAGTTCTTTTCAAAGGAAATCTTTTCTTGATGAAAAATATTACTCAAGCCTGTCTGTTTACCGAAAATCGTTTATCCCCATTATCAAAACATTTTTTTTTTCTAAGTGGAAAAGAAAATCGAAAAAAAATTTTTAGACAAAAAAGTCGATTTCCTTATAGCGCACCTAAACATTTTATCAATAGTACCAGAAATCAATAAATTTAAACTCTCAGTTATCTCAAGAGCTGTCACGGAACGGCTTGCTTCTACTAGTGCCTTTGCTTTGCTTTTATCAGCTCTTACAGGCCTTCCATACTGTGTCGCAAAGAAGCGGAAAAAAGTTTCACAAACCACTTTTGCCACTGAGATTCTGTCCATTCGTCTCCTCCATACGCTTCCGAAAAGTTTTTTCCTTCTTAAACATTATTTTAACCTCTTCGCTAGAAATAGATTTAAAATACGTGCTGGTTTTGACTTGCCCTGTACGGTATAAGAAGCCAAACGAAAACTTTTCCCACATAAGTATTACGATAACAACTATATATATGTGAAGACATTACGCCTTAAATGCGAATTTGCCTGCGAAAAAATGCATTTAAATCTTCTGTTGGAAAAAAAAAGGAAATCACTCTCCGAACGATTTGATACATTTATGTAACATAGATTTCGAGGATCGCTCGTTAACTAGTTCCGCTAATTGATTGTATTGATTACATTCGAGTTAAGGTAAATAAAAAAAAAAGCTTTGCCAATTGAATTTCGAATTCAAAATTGCCCGATACGTTGCAAAAATTCTTCTTCTTCGTTGGAAGGCGATTCAATGAAAAAAAATTTAGAAAAAAAAGCTTGAGAGAAGTGCCGCATGTAGTTTTCCGCCTCATAAATATATTCCGTTTCGAAGAAGCTCAAAGCATTCGCTATTTTATAGAAGAATTTCTTTTAAAAAAAACTTGACATACATCGTAGACCAGATTGACCGATCTAGACCATTTTTAAACTGAATGTGAAGACGACGAAAATTTTGGTGGTAAATTTTTCGATATATCGCAACGGATTCAAAAACTGCAGACGAAATTATAAAAAAATGTTCGACATGATATCGAGATTGTCTCAGCTTTTAATCTACCATCGGCCTGTGTGTGGACAGATCACGACATATTTTTAACCTTAAATTCTTAATCAAGGAAAGTTAGAGTCAACTTTCAGCTTCCTAGTCCATAAGTCCTTGCGTTCTAATCCGGTAGTGCTAATATTAAACAATGAATTTATTACAAATATAAATTATTTCGCCCACATATAAGAGGTGTTTAGGTATTCATGATTAGCCTAAAGCGAGCATAGTTTACTTGTTTAGATTTTCGTTATGCTAAACATATCATACAATCGATATTAAATGACTAAAGTCGAAAGCGACTAATTACAGAATTCATTTAGTGTTGATTGAAATTCCAAACAATTTAGAGAATAAACGAAATCAAATGTGAAATAAATACCCAAACAAAATAACAATTTACAAAGCGGCACACAGACAGACAACGAACAACAACGCTAAACAATACGAAATTATGATTTACAACCAGCGGACGCAATGAATTTGCGGAAGGGTTCATGCAAATGAATGGGAAGTAATTAAGCAAAAAAATTTAGAAAAATATTTATTTTATCATTATTGAAAATGCAATTTTCTCCTCTTAATTTATTATGAAAAATATTTTACCTTTTAATTGATCTGGAAATTGCGTGTATTTTAGCGAAGATTTATCAATTTTTACAAAATATTACCAAAGCAAATATAATTACTCCAAAAAAAATTAAATACTTAAACAAATATTTCTAACAAAACATAAAAAAGGAAATACAAACAACTACTAAAAACGTTATAGTCGGGCAAGACCGAACATTAGATATCCTATACCAATTCGTCTTTGTACAGCTACTTAATTGTCAATAATTACACGTTACTTTTCGTGAAAGCCCGCATATTGGAGAATGCCTAAAAAATCGCATGACATCACATACGAACACATCATCAACATAATTTACTATCTAAAAATTTATTTATTTTACAGTTTCCGTCCAAAAAAGCTAAAAATTAGGACTTAATCTCCATATAAGGGCTTGCTCTCTCATGACAGACGCTGTATATGTTAGAATCTAAAAAATATACCTATTTGATCCAGATTATTTTACGTCAATTTTTTTTTTTTCCAACTCACTACTGCAGACTAATTTTCATCACAAAATATTAACGATTTCTTTGAAGGTCTCAGTATTTATGATAAATCTTATCTCCAAGAAACAGACCCAAATTTTCATTACAAAAAAAAAGAAAAATTAGAGCGTTTTGGCATGTAAGAGTTCACATTTCTTGAGAATCCTTGTATGCGTTGATAAGTCGTTGAAAAGGTACCCTTACCCGAATTACTCACATAAACGGACAGATAGACGGACAAGTTAAGGTGTAATAAAAGGTGGGTCTACCTTAAGCCTTTCTGGGTGTTACACAGCTCCGCACAAATTCAATATATCATGTACCGCAACTCATGTAGCGTATAAAAATTAGCCGAAAGCTAATGTTGCTTGTACTCAATTTTTTTGCCTTTAGCTTCAGAATTTATTCCACTAGTGTACAAAAAAAATTATAATAATAATAATAATAGTAATAATATCATAAAAATGACGTAAGTGTGTCATTCTTATAGTCAGTAAATAAAATTTATCCTCGAAAGTCAAGGTTTAATGCAAATTTGTTTCCCTTCTTAGTACTTTCATGTAAGGAGTAATCAATTGTAGCAAAAGGAGACCAATGGTGAGGAAAAACTATCCCAACAAAAAATACTTAAATCAATCAAGCTGCTATTAAGACAGAAAAGCTAATCTTTAAATAAAATATTGCTTGGTTCTTTTTTTTGGTAGAAACATAAAAAAAACGAGAGATGAAATTAATTTCTTTCTCACTGTGAAACGAATTATACAAGAAACTAAATAAGAAAATTAAAGCAAAGCATATTACCCAAGCTATATATAGAAAAATCTCCGAATAAGTTAACAATTAAGGGTCGAAGGACCTACAAGGACCATAAAGTGTTTGCGCCGACCTGAACTCTAGACTAACATTTGCCTTGAAGTCTCGCCCTTTGAGATCTTTCTTGATTGCGAAGAGTGAGCCAACGCCACGCCCACTTTCTCATGGACAAATGTTCATTTGAAATATTAAACACACTACCTTTTGAAATCTTTAAGCTGTCAGCGTTCCCCTGCAATTTTACTTTTCGTCCCACCAAGACGACGACTTTGTTCACTTCTTGTGAAGTGAAGATGTTCCCATTGCTTTGAATATTGCAAATCATTAAAACAAGTGCGACTTGCAAAGTAAGTGCCAAGATAATCTTAAGATCTTGATATATATCGTTTCAAGGTTGACACAATCCAGAAATCATATGTGGCGGTCAACAATGATCCCACACGGCCATCATATAATAGATTGAGTATTGAGTAAAGTTGGGTTTTCAAATTTTTCTCTTTAATCCTAGACATGAAAACCGGCAAACCGGTATCATTTTCATCCTTAACTTTCTCATAACACGTGCATATGCAAGTTTCCAGCTTTGTATGTCATATTGATATGATCTGTGAGAATTTCAACAAAGAACAAAGAAAGGTTGAACATTGCCATAGCAAGCAATATGGTCTTCAATTCGTGCACGAAAGTGTTATCTACCCTAAAAGTGACAACAAAGATGATAACCCCCTTGTAATCTCTTCAACAAAAAGTATAATGAAAATATTTATAATTTTTATGCTTTTCTGTACATAAAAAAAATCTTTAACAATCTTGATATTATTCAATTTCTTATTTTATTTTATTAACAGTACAATTTTTTTTAATTAGAGAAAAAATATAATCTCGTGGTTGAGTTGGCCTTTACCAATCTAATCAGATCTCTGCAGGCTAATGAATAGATAACTGCGTAGATACGGTAGATCGCTGCTAACTATAATTTTGCAAATAAATTCTATTTGTTAGCAGAGAAACGAAAAGTATTGAGCCTTTAATTATCTAAATTAAAAATGTAATGATGTGACTTTCCGTTTGCAAGCACACAATGCCTGCGCTACAAAAATTTTATGCAAATCAAATGACAGCAGTAGGCTGTTAGTTCACCAGCAGGTTCTTTAGAAGCCGAAATAAGCGATAAATTCCCAGCAAAGCCTAAGTTTATTACTAATTATTACTAGCGTGAACTCTGCGACACTGGCTGTGCGCAATACTAAAAGTTCAACTAATTACGTCACAATATTCTTCAAACTGTACTAAAACTTTTTATATGAATAGACAGATGGTGGTTAAATTAGATTTTACGATGAATAGAGAGACATACGCGAAAGACTCACCAATTTTAGCTATACTCGCTGACAGTATCCAAACACCTATAATAAACGGTGTTTTTACTCTTTCAAAATCCACCTGTGAAAGAGGATAACGTTCAGGTGCATGTTTATGTTCGTCAGATTGCAAAACCTCCACTCCTGTATGGATAGAACCTGGATCAGCCACTACATATTGCTGCGGCATCGCAGACATCTCTTCCCCAGGATTTGCTGAAGAAAGCTGTAACGGGGCATCAAAATTTTAGCATTAAGTTTTTTTAATTTAATAGAAATTCATTTTTACAAATATTTTTTTTTTTTTTTTTTTTTGAAACCATTTTCAGACATAAGTTGATAGGATATTATAAACAGTGTAGAAGAGGACAAGTAGAACACAGTTTATTCAGTTGTATCTGTTGATCAATTTAAAAAAAAAAAAAAAATCGCTAAAATGTGGATTTTAACAACTCTAGCGTCCCCTTTGAAATTTCAATCTTTTTTAGTCTTTAAATTCTATTAAAACTGCCGGCAAATTCTAGATAAAAAAAGCAGAAAACTAAAAGACGTATGTTAACCTTTGTTGTGTGCTTTGTACTTCCAGAGAAGCAAAAATATAAAAAACGCATTATAATGATATTTTGCATATGCAATAAGAGAGTTTGCAAAATAGTTCAAACGGGGTCAACTTTTAGGTTAATGATAAATAAGTAATTTTTGTTTTTTTTTTTAAATTCTATATCACAAATCTCTTCTTTTTTAGGGACAAAGTATTAGGTTAGCCATATTCCATATGGTTCTTAATATTATGATTATAATAACCAAGTGGATGAGATTTCTATGTTTAAACCCTTCACCGAACTGTGAGGGGTATGTTCGTTTCGTCAAAACGTTTGCAGCGTTCACAAATCCCACAAAATATATATGTATTCTTAATCAGCATTAAATTCTAAATCGATTTAAGCGTTTGATATCGGCTCATCGGTTTGTCTATTTGTCTGTTCGTATGTGCAATGCCAGTTGTAAGCGTTCTCCTGCCCGCAAAAATGAAGCTATCAAATTCAAATTTTGGAGGAACATTGGAAGTTCTTGCACGCAACTTGACAATGAAAAAGAGCCAAATCGGTGAAAGCACACGCCCACAGCATCACGTAAGCAGAAAACATGGCTCCGTTTTTCGAAAGAAAGAAAAAATTGGGGTTTTTTCTCATAGCTCATAACCTATACCAGACAAATGCACAAAAATTTGAATGCATATTTTATAGGCGATGCTGTACCGGCTGTCCGAAAACTGGGAAAAATTGGCAGCGCCTACCCAATATTACAAAATTTAATTTTTCTTTCAATACCTATATAAGGGGCAGAAACAAGCTTGAAAAACCCCATTAAGTATATAAATGCTTGGCCAGTTTCGAATTTGGAATGCACCTAAGCATATCCATCTGTTTGGCTGCGTGATTGTACAGCATTTGTGGTAAATATCCTCGCGTTGGCGAATCTGAAGACATCGCCTACAAATTTTCAAAAGAATTTAAAAATGAATTAAACTTTTCGAAGAACACGCCTAAACGCCCACACGCTTATGCAAGAAAAACTCTTATTTTGAAAATAGAAAAAATTACCCAGGTCCACTGTAGTTTTTACTTTTTTTGCCAACTTTGGCAACACAACGGTGATGGGTATAAAAGATTCGGTCAGGACCAACTATAATTTTATTATATTTTTTTTTATTCAATTCATATAAAAGCAGAACCTTAGCATTGTTTAGTTCTCCTGCAGTAGAAGTAAGCACACGCTTTCGTTACTTTAATGCATGTGCGCAAATGCAGCCGGCAAGAACAAATTAAATGGACTGTTACGAACTGTACGGAATGTAAAACGTAATGGAGTGTAAAAACGATGTAGTCGAGCAATAGTGAGTATTACATAAACTACATTAATTCGCTTAACATAATTCTTCCTCTATTCCTATTAGATCTATCAAATGGAATCCGCCTGTAAAGGAAGAGAGGTGATTGCAGCTAAATGACTTGAAACAAATAAATGAGAAGCTTAAATTGAAGGTAATTTTCAAAGGAAAATGTGAGAGAATGTAGAAATTTTATTACGATTAAGATTTTATTTACTTAATTCAGCAATAGAGATTAACCGAACGGTTGTGTTACGGTGACCACGAAATCTTAGCTGGCCAATCATGAAAAACGCCCTGGTTATTATCTATGTTCGTTAAAAAATATCAAAAAGTTTATTCTTGATATCGCATAGACACGCCTTCTTCTCACGAGAACTGTTACAACGAAAAGGTTCTAGAAAATAGACGTATATAGCTCACATTGATTACAGTAAATTTAAATGTCGACTTAAATCTAATGTCGATTAACTTTTATCGTAAAATATATAGGCATTGTTGTCTTATAAATGCTAAGAGGCTTGTAAGCATCATTATACTGGAGCCGATCCAATCCTTCTCAAATTTCGAGCTTTGTCGAAAGATATTAGAAATGACAAACTTTTTTCACAAAAATGTCGTCTCGGACTATTTTCAACAGGACAAAAAGCATACCATTAACGGGGGTTATAATATCTCATTAGACTATTTCCGAAATTTGCAACTATTAAGAGAAAGACAATTAATCTGAATGGATTGCTATAATAAAAAATTAGGGTCGCTTAAATTCGTCCTCGTCGAACAAACTTAATATACCTACACTAAAAGTAAGATAAAATAAAGATAGACGCTTAAGAATTGACGTTTGAAAAAAGAAATAAATAAAATGAAATAATGCTCAACGATGAGAAAATCCTTTTTTGTTTCGCATGAGATCGAAATCGTAAGACAATGGACAGCGGAGATAGATATTATTATCGATTCGAGTCGGAATCCCAAGTTGATGAATAACGCGATTTGACTGCAATGAGCCCATAACTTTTTGACAGAGCAAGTATACGGATTAATTTTATTTTAAAAACAAATTATCGAAGGGACGATAATATGAATGTCTTCGTATCACTTCGCCATTTTCCAAACTCTATTACTCCTTACGCGATCCTAAAAAAAGAGGGAAGAAAAAGAAAGAAAAAGAATATTTCCATTTATAAAATAAAAGTGGAAATATATATATCGTGTACGTGGTGCACTTTATATGTAACAAGCAAAAAACACGGAAAACAAAGATGTTCACAGTTTTCGTTACATAGACCTGTGAACCGTTAAAGCCGTGCTCTTTGAAAAGTTTGGCTTATTTTCAAATTCTTTTGTAACTTTATAAGCCATTTCATCATTTTTGCGGGCGAGAGAATGTTTACAGATGGCACACAATTGCACAGACGGACAGATGGCACTGACACGCTTTTGCATTCCCAAGTTGAAACTGGTTAAGAATTTATATATTCTTTAGGGTTTTTGACGCGTTCTTCTTATTCCTTTTGAAAAGCAAATGCGTCCTCACTGTGCCTAATACTGTACGCATGTCCTTCGACCAATTTGGCTCATTTTGAGTACTAACTTGCCAACGTCCAATGTTTCTGCTAAATTTGAAGCCGTCAATAGCTTCTTTGCTTATCAAGAATACATATATTTTGTTCGGTCTGTGAAGCTTCTTTCTGGCCGTTGCAAACATTGTGACGGAATGAATATAATCTTCGTCGTTCGGTGATGGCACAGACTTCAAAAAAGATCTTTATAGTACATGGAAAAGTACCTTTGGTCACCTCATTTATTCTTTGACTACTTTCCGAAACTTTATTTAAAATTACACTACCCGCGACCATTAAGTTATTGCGTACTTGGGTACACATACGAAGGAGATTTCAAAATAAAACGGAAACTGTAAATATATATATGTATATACTATTCCCTTCGAAGAAATAATAAAAAAGGCCTTTAGCGGAAAGTATCTTATGAGAAACGCTTTAAAGTATACAGGCAAGCCGGGCAAAAAGATATCAAATAGTATGCGCTGTGTGTGTGTGTGTATGAGGTCTTGAAATGTTAAATATTCAAATTTGAATTTTATTCATTCTCTTCATTCAATTATTCATCTAACAATCTATCTATTATTATGTTTAACATTATTTACATTATCTAACACATGTGTGAGCATCCGCTGATTTTTTTTTTTTTTTGCTACGCGCATGTATCTGTCGTATTGATACATGAGTAATTGCATTGCTGCTTATTCAAGAAAAAAAATATACATAATATATTATATTTTCCACGTCATAGAAGATTAACAACAATCGTTACTGTTATTTATTTCGACATACACATGTCGATACTGGAGGGAATTTTTTTTAAAAAGTTTACAGCAATGAGTAAACTTATAACTCATACCCCAGCACAATAAAAGTATAATAATATTGTCGTTTGTTTTGAAACACACTGTTAATAATCGGACCTGGGAATTTGAAACAATTTACTCATTATCGTCAAAGCTGTCCGACGATTCGTCTCCTGTTGGACTTTCCACAATCGCAGAAATTAAAATGCGAAAGCGAGAGGAAACTTTACGCATGCATTACTAGTCCAAGATTTACAGTTAATTTCAAAAAAGAATTCTTTACCCAACCGTACCCAGAGTAAACAATAGAATATAAACAACAATAGGTAAAAAATTAAATTAATTTGTGTAACTGTTGTAAAACACGATGTATACCCTAATTAATCACATTTTGCAATTAAGTAACATTTCTAGTAGTGGGTGGTATCCAAAATTCGTCCTACAGCGTCTTTTAGACGCTCTTGTTGCTTTTATTTTATTTAACATTCGTTACGCTATGTTACACAATATAAATGTGCCTGAGAAACGTGAAAAATAGCATTAGTAGTAGTATTATCAGTAAGTCATTTTAAATATGTAAATATGTTAAAATTAAATTTCGGAGAACACTTATTAATCGAGAAATTGTAATAAAAACAATGTTTTCCATCAAAATCATTACCATAATCGGGAGAAAAGCATGATACATGATAATAAATCAAAGAGAATGTTTCAATTATAAAATTGAAATGAAATTCCAATAACAATATTGTATGTATGTGTGGCCTGCATATACCTTTCGCATATTATTTATTTAACTAATTAGCATATGATTTTTAAAAAGTTTTTTTCTCTTTTGTATTTTTCCAAATTGATTGATAATATAACAATTTCTTCTTCTTCAATTGTGAAAAACATATGAAGCGAGAGAAAACGAAAAGTAAATTACGCATGAATACAACAACAACAACAACAACAACAACAA